TGGGCCGGGCAGCGCTCCCCGCTGGCTGCCCACGCCTCTTAAGCTCTCCTCTCTCCCCAGACCAGAAGGCATCGAGCGGCAGTTTAGGAAGAAGTGTGGCAAGTGAGTGACAGCAGCAGTTCCTCCGTGACTTTCAGCATCTGTTGGTGAGGTAACTGTAGGGATCCAGAATCTGGGTTTCTTCACAGCTGTGTGTGTGTTTTTGTTTCCAGGTGTGGCCTGTTGCTCTTTTATCAACACCAACAGAAAAATGCACCCGTGACCTTCATTGTTGACGGTGCTGTGGTCAAATTTGGCCAGGGTTTTGGGAAAACAAACATATATACCCAGAAACAAGAACCTCCCAAAAAGGTAATCAGCTTTAGAGAAGTAAAAAGGCTATTTTTGCTTTTCAAGAAGGTGTGGTGAAGTGGGCGCAGAGGAGAGAAACAAGAAAGAAGAGGACTTCTAAACAGTAACTCAGTGTGGTGTCTTCTCCCTGTTTGCTTTAAGTTCTTCTTGACAGAGGTCACTGTAATTTGGAGTCCTAGCACGAAAGGAAAGCAAAGTAAACTTGGAAATCCAGGCTGTGCCTGCTCTTTAGGCTGCTACCAGAACATTCCCCTTTGTAAGTAGGTCAGGTTGGCAGTCTGCACGGTGATTTTCAAAATCTGGCTCATCTATTTATGATGTATCAGTGAGTTTGCTTCTGATAATGACAGCTCTAAATCCAGAAATCAATGGGGATAAGTCTCCTTTGCCACCCACAGAGTTCAGGTAATCTTAATGACTTGCATGAGAAGCCTTAAAAGCTTTGGAGGGGGAAGTCATGCCTAGTGGCACAGCTGTTCCAGGGTCTAACAAAATGCTCTGTGTCTCCTCCAGGTGATGATGACCAAACGCACCAAAGACATGGGCAAGTTCAGTTCTGTCACTGTCTCCACCATCGATGAAGAGGAGGAGGAGATTGAAGCGGTGAGTTGTGTCTGCCTGGGCAGCTGCCTCAGAGGCTGCTCAGAGCCAATGACTGTCTCACTGTGGGAATCAGGTGTTGTTACTTTGGTGTTTGCTGTTGCAAAGTGGTACTGTGTGTGTTTCAGAGGGAGATTGCAGACTCCTATGCCCAGAATGCAAAAGTGATTGAGAAGCAGCTGGAACGCAAAGGCATGAGCAAAAGAAGGCTGCAGGAGTTGGTGAGTGGTGTCTTTGGGGCTGAAAGCAAAGCCCTGGGATCTGTTGGCTGGGTACACAAAAGCTATCTTGCACATTGAACTAGTATAGTCATAGGTAACTTGTAGCTCTGTGAGGATGGCTTTTTCTTTACTGGTTATATAGAGAAGTTCTTCTAGTCCTCCTGATCTTAAAATTGTGTGCAATTACCTATAGAGCTAACTGAAGAGTAGCCAGCAGAGCTTTGGAGGGAGACTTCCCATGACCTATTGGACGAGGAACAAGGGGAGGGGAAACCAGGGCATGGCTTTACAACCAGAGCATCTCAAATGTTCTCAAGCCTGCTGGGCAGAGCAGGTCTTTGCAGTGAGGCATCAGGGCAAGCTAAGGCCCTTGTGGGCTTTTTATGATGGTCCTCATTTTGTACCTTTGGGGAGGAGGGAGTCAGCAAAATACTTCAACTACTCTTGCTACTGGTGTGAAAAGCTTGCAGTGGTCAAACCAGAAGACCAAACCTCATTGAAGGGAAACTTATCCAGACACTATTTAACTCTGTCTTAATTTCCTCAATCAGGCTGAGTTGGAAGCCAAGAAAGCTAAGATGAAAGGAACCCTGATTGATAACCAGTTCAAATGAAATGCTGCACATCTGCTGGGTATTTGCAGACAGGAGAAAGCTACCAGGAGCTATCACAAATCTGTCAACAAAGCAGAAGTAATGGACAATGTTCATGAACAATGTGCTGCAACCAGCTTGGAGGATGAGTACAGCTCTGTAATAAATGATACTCTGGTAACAATTTTAATAATTCCAGTGGCACTAGACACCTTGCTGTTCTGCAGTTCTCTACAGACTCGGTGTTATGAGCAAGCTGTTCCAGCCAGAATACTTAGTTTTGGGAAAATCTTCACTGAGTGCCTTGCTGAGATCAGTGCACCTTTAGATACCTGCCTTTTTATTTTTGTAGTTTTCAAATGTTTAAGATTTCCCTAAATGTATTGGAACGAAAGGTCAACTGTACAACAAAAATAATTACAATAGTAAGCTCTGTGCCTGTTCTTAATTTTGTTATTTTAAATGTGTCCACAACTTGGAGCAGTCTGGAAGACATGCCATTCCAACAGTCTGGAGCAACTCAGATGGAAGGCTCAGGGATTGTGCTGGTGCTTACCCTGACCAGCAGACTCGGCTGCAGCGCTAAGTCTCAGCTCCTGCTGAATACTGGAAGGCCACCGTTGTA